AGAGGGACCCCTAACGGGGCCCTGTATCCAGGCAAGGGGAATGAAAAGCATTGGAGAATGCAGGCATCGATCCTGCTACCTCTCACATGCAAAGCGAGCGCTCTACCACTTGAGCTAATTCCCCTCCCTGCAGCCTCTCACCCAGCTCCTCTCCCCTCCCAGGCACCCAGCCCTGCACCCAAAGCCTGCGCCTCCCATTCATATCACTGTCCCACCATCAACAACTCACCTGATCATGTTCCTACTGGGTGTGACTCCAGACAACACTACTGCTCAAAATCAACTTCCTGACCAAAAATGCCTTGGCTACTCAACTTTTCAACTTCTCTTGTCCTTGACTCAACGACAAGAGCTCAAAGCTGGGCAGACCTTTGAAGGGGAGCCCACTGGGAAGGACCAAACGGCAGTGCCAGTGTGGGATGTGTGAAGGAGCCAAAAAGTCATTCCTTCGAGCCGGAGTTGAACCAGCGACCTAAGGATGGCCATGCCAGGGAGCCTACAGTCCTCCGCTCTACCAGCTGAGCTATCGAAGGAATTGCAGGCATCTGCCCCAGACCTCACACAGGACACACTCACCCAGCACTTTTGCCAATCTGCAGTGCACAATTGTGTTTCTATTATGCATCTTGCTTCAAACAGCCTCAGCTGAGACATCACAGAACCTTGTTCATGTGCTCCATAAACTCTTTGGACATCATCCTCTACAGATTAACTTCCTCACAGCCTCACAGCCAGGATATAGAGTTTACCTATATCCTGCTGCATTTTCCCTTCATTCCCTTTCACTCTGCTATCTTCAGCCCTCTGCTCAAGCATAAGAAAAAACAAAATGACAGCCATCCCTCTGTTCTGTAACAGAGTGTTGGAACATCATGTGTAAGTTCTCTGAGCATCTCTTTCTGTTAACTGAAAGCACCTACTCTCCTCAGTCTGTCTTTAAAGAGAATTCCTTGAGTTCCTTGGTGGCCCTCCACTAAAGTTGTTCCATTCCATTGATGTCCTTTCTGTATTTCACTTGATACTTGAGAGCTGTCAAGCAAAGAGGGAGAAGATCAATTCCTCTGCCAAACTGCCCCTCGAAGTCTTGATACAAGCCTGGATGTCATCCTCCTCTTTAAGTCCAGGGCACACCTTGAATCTTCCCACAGCCCCCAGAGAACAGATGGATCCCTGGCAAAGGGCCCTGTGTCCCACCAGAGGGAATGAAAAGCATTGGAGAATGCAGGCATCGATCCTGCTACCTCTCACATGCTAAGCGAGCGCTCTACCACTTGAGCTAATTCCCCTCCCTGCAGCCTCTCACCCAGCTCCTCTCCCCTCCCAGGCACCCAGACCTGACCCAGCGTGCCCTGAGCCTCCCATTCATATCACTGTCCCACCACCAACCCACCCACTCACAGTCCTGCAGGAGGTGACTGCAGACAGTATCCATGGTCAGAATCACCATCCCCTGCCCAAGGGTTCACCAGAAAATGCCTTGCCTGGTCATTTCCCCAGCTTCAGACAAGAGCTCATGGCTGGACAGCCCTTTGAAGGGAAGCCTCCTGAGCAGGATCAGAAAAAGGCAGTGGTGCCAGTGTGGGATGTGTGTGAGAGGCAAAAGGTGACTCCTTGGAAGCAGAGCTGAACCAGTGACCTAAGGATGGCCATGCCAGGGAGCCTACAGTCCTCCGCTCTACCAGCTCAGCTATTGAAGGAAGCATGGGTTAATCCTGCTCACATCCTCTGATACTTCATAGTGTTGTCATATCTGACGCTATAGAGCATTCTTTCCTGTCTTCAAAGTATTGCTATCTCCATTCAGAAGCCCCCTCATCATACCCACCCCTGTGTCTGAGCATGGCCTGATCTTGCTTTTCAACCTAAGCCACCGCTGATAGAGGTCTTGAGTTTATTTCACTGACTTCATTTTCATAAGAGCATTTATCCATCTTGACACACTTATCCATCTTGAGGGATAGTTGTTTCTCTGTTTGCTGTCACTTTTCTCTCCCAAACTTGCTTGCTGCTGTGGAGGGCTGCAGTGGGCAGTGATCCTAAGGCAGTGAAGGACAAAGTCATTCACCATGAGAAAAATATGAATGGACATAAACCCATAGTTTTGGTATAGGAAGTAGCCTACAAACTCCTTTGTTCATTTCACACTCTACTTTTTTTCTTCTTTTTTTGTCATAATGAATCATTTTTATTATCTAACTGGGAATGTCACTCTTCCAGGGACCCACAGGTACCCACAGTACCATATACCTAGTATTTTGTGTTATCTCAAATACTTTTTGTCCTTGGACCTAACAGAGTCCTTTGTCTTACTTGTATGAATTGCACTGCTAATATCTAGATCTTGTTCCCATTGCTAAATCATCTTCAGTTAGTATATGTCATCTCAGTGTGCAGAGAGTTGTTTTGGCAATGTACTCTTTTTAGTGAGAACATTTGTCCCAAAATTAAAATAAGAACATAGATTATCTTTTGTTAATTACTGAAAGTAATCCTGTTAGTAGTCTAAACCAATACTAGGTAAAGTGAGAATGCAAGTAATGAGTTTCATCTTTTTAAAGATCATTCTGTTGAAATTCTTATTTTTTATAAGATTGCTTGGGATGTAGGTCAGCCAGAAGATGTCTTTGGGTCTCTGGGAAAAGAAAGAAAGAAAGAAAGGCTGGAAATTGGTTGTCCGATCCCTGCAAATATTCAGGGGTTTCTGAAAGTAATACTTCTCTCTTTTTTCCTTTTTTTCTCTTGTTTTCTAATTTTGGGGCCTGTTTTCAGGTAAGAAAAGGGATAGACTGTATAATTCATTTAAACATTTGGATGACACATAATATCATTAGTCATGCAAGACTTAGCTTATTTTTTCAGTTCCTATATTTAATTTTTTATTGTGTTTAGGGCACATGTTAAACATGACCAAACTTTGTGTTTAAGGTGCAATATGCACAGTGTATTAAATATGACTGAACACAATTCTATTCATGCTATTAGACACATGTTTAAGGAGTTATTTATGACCTGTGATTCTGTGACTTGAGCGCAAGAGAATTGAAGAGATCATTGGCAGAAGCTGTTCCCAGGCTGATTTTAGTCTTGATATTGGCAGAATGTCTTCCAGGCAGGAACTGTCTTCAGGAACAAAGCAGTTCCTTTTTATTGCAGGAGTTATCTATAGTAGGACTTTAGAAGGAAATCAGGTAGGACTACTCCGAGGTTAAATTTGTTAGAGGAAGTGTAGGCACACTGCCTTCACACCACAAATACTATTTCTGGTCATAGCAGTTATGGCTAGCTCTCAAAATATTTGGAGAGAATATTCACAAAAAGAAACGTAGCTTGGCTGTGATTGAATCAGCTCAAAACATAACTAAGTCACTTTTGATGCCACTAGAGGTCAGCACTAGTCATTAAATAAATGTCCTGGAGACTGCAACCTCTTTACTGGGAGTGGCGATTTTTGAAAATATCTACTTCTGTCTATGCTTGTTTTGCAAGTGTGTGTGAGCTGACACTACCAGTGCTTCATGGTGGTTGGGAGCAAACCCCTTCTTCTCGGTGCTGTGGTTCCCCAGTGCTGGGAGCCAAGAGTCACACTCTGCACTTTTCAAGCTGTGCCTCTCCTCAAATGCCACAGGGCTGAGTACAGTCAGGGCCAAAAGGGAGTGACAAACCCTGACCTAGTAAAGGCTTCCAATGGCATCATCAGCCCAAACTAGCTGGCATTTACTCCACTCTCACACCACACAGGGATTTAGTTCTGGGCACCCCGAAATAAGAAGGACATGGACCTGCTGCAGCAAGTCCAGAGAAGGGACACAAGGATAACCAGAGAGATGGAGACAGGCTGAGAGAATTGGTGTAATTTGCCTGGACAAGAGAAGGCTCAAGGGAGACCTTAGAGCACCTTCCAGTACCTCAAGCAGTCCTACAAGAGAGCTGGAAAGGAACTTTTTACCAGGGCATGAAGTGATATGATAGGACAAGGGGCAATGGCTTTAAACGAAAAAGGAGTATGTTTACATTAGATATTAGGAAGAAATTCTTTACTTTGAGGGTCACAAGGCACTGAAACAGCTTGCTCAGGAAAGCTGTGGATGCTCCAGCCCTGGAAGTCTTCAAGGCCAAGCTGGATGGGGGGCTTTGAACAACATGGTCTAATGGAAGCTGTCCATGCCCATGATGGGGGGCCAGCCCTAGATGATCTTTAAGGTTCCTTCCAATCCTAACAACTCCATGATCCTGTGAAAATAACCATTCTGTGATGGTTCCTATGATGATCCTATGACAATCCCCTCTTACTCCTTCAAGGATTGTCTCAGAAGTGCAGCAGTGGGGAACTAGGCCAAAAGACAGGCTCTTGAAACCAGGATTAATTCATAATGCTTTGCCACCTTGTGCTTCAAAAAGATGCTTCCCTTCTATTGTAATTCCTAACTGTGCTCTCCATCATCACTGTCTGGGTTTCTGCAAACACAGACACTGTTTACAACATTTTAATGTAGCTACTATTGATAGGCAATTGAACACAGAATTTCCTTTGCTATAAAGAAAATAATGTTGCCTGGATAAGCAGTGTGATCATCGTGTTTTTAAACAACTTTTAAAAAATCTTTATCTTTGCTAAAACCTGCTAAATGATGCAAACGAGTTGGCAATCATAATGCAACAAATGCCTGTGATTTATTATCATGTTGCAGTCTGTGCTTTCATCATATATCACTGTCTACTTTAACAGAGTAGCTGACTAGGTATCAATACACAAAGTTCATTCTCAGTGTAATAGGCACACCTCTTTCATCAAAATTTTCATGTTTGGTTCCTTTGTGTCACTTTTCTTCCACTGAGTACATCAGAGCTGGAAAAAAGAAGGCTGAACATACAGTTCAAAATTATTATCACTCTATGAAAATATTTTTGCAATGTTTTGTGTCTGTATACATGCACATATGCAGATGACTTACTTTCCTTCTGGGTTTTTTTGTTGTTGTTGTTTGTGTCTCATATTTAAGAAAATTGGCTCTGAAATATCATCCTGACAAGAATCCAGACAATCCAGAGGCTGCAGAAAAATTTAAAGAGATCAACAATGCTCATGCAACCCTGACTGATGTGTCCAAGCGAAACATATATGACAAGTATGGATCATTAGGGCTCTATGTGGCAGAACAGTTTGGTGAGGAAAATGTTAACACCTACTTCATGCTCTCCAGCTGGTGGGCAAAGGTAAGCTGTTATTCTCTTTTGAAAATCAAATGCTGCAATGCACACTGACAATTGCATACACAAGGAACCCCCTGAAAAACATAATTTCTCTACAGGCTTAAAAAATAGTATGATCTGACTCTAAACTAAAAACTTAATGAAACAAAATTATCTGGAAAATTGACAGTGACAGAATATAACATAAGCTCAGACTAGCACTAATATAGAAAGTTTTCTCTTTTTTTAACCTGGTCTATAATTATAGTACATGTTTTGTAACACTTTCAGACATTAATTAGATTTGAATCTAGTGCTCCAGGTTAATTTTGACTTTCTTTTCTGTAATGACTAAATAAAAATGACTCATTATTCAAGCACAAGAAGTCCCATTTATGTGACAACCAATTAATGAATTATTAAAGTACAAATTTAGCTTTTTTGCTATATTTAGCACACAATGTCAGTAAGCAATAATAATACACAACACTATGATTATGGCATGGCATATGTGCCTTGGTGATGGAGTGAGAGAAAGGAACTCAAAGAAAAGGTTAGAAGAGTGGAGTAGAGGAAGGAAGTAGGACAGGAAGAGAAGGATACAACAAAACCCTACATATTGCTCAAGAAAAAACACAAAATGGGCTGTTCTAGTCACGAAGGAGTTGGGTTCATTTGTTCCCTTATCACATTGGTGCCCTCTGATGTTTGTGTATATCAAATTCAGGTGTTTCTGCAAATACTGAAATGTTACAGATATGCAACACACAGAATTGCAAATGTGCAAAATCCATGCAGTTTCCATCCCACCAGTCTCCAGCCACAGCAGCCCAGGAAAGCTCTCTGCTGGGCTGTGACAGAATATCCAGGAAGATGATCTGTACTGCTTGAAGCAATGTGATGACAGTTTTTATCTGAGAGCTGTGGAACCCAGAATTCTCTGTTCAGCAAGGAACAGGCCAGTGCTGCATTGCCCCACATTCCCCTTTGAAGCTGGGAAGTCACTTGGGCACTTTGGGGGTCTGAGAAGCCATAATTTGACTTCTGAATGATGAGGCAGAAGCTGCTCAAAAGCAGAACAGTGCATGAAACCAATGAATAAAGTACTGGTGTTTAAATCAAACTTGCAAAGGGGCTGCCCCTCAGAGGCTGGTTGGAGGCTGCCTGCTTGCAGCTGCTGTAGCTGCCTCCTGCTGCAGGCTGGACACCCCACCGCAGCTGCTGTCATCTCCTGATGGATCATTCCCTCTTGTCTGTGCTGCCCACCCTCTCCTTCTGCCTCTTTGTCACAGTTAGGTGGCCTCAGCACTGAGAGGGCAACAGTGTGGACCCCTTTAACAGTTTTTGGCAAAAAAGATTTCCTTCACTGTTTCTTTTTCTTTTTTAACTTCTATTTTTCTTTTATTTGGTGATCTTTAATGGAGATTTTATGGAGTATAAAATCCTCTGGGGTCATAAAATCAGGTACAGAAATAACCACTGTGGCTTTGACTCATAAAGAGAGCAGTGGGGAGTAGAGAGAAGCTCATAAGTCCCTAACAATTAAAGGAAAAATGTGAGGATTGCTTCAAGCAAGCTGTATCCCAGAGGTGAGACAAGACATGAAGAGCAAAGTAATCACTGCTTCCTGGTTTTCAAGAATTTTTCACAAAAAAAAAAAATTAAAATATGTATACAGAGTCATTTGAGGATTATCACAGATAATCTCTCTATGCCTCCCCCAACCCAAAATCTTGCCACCCATCCCCAAAGCATAAAAGGGCCACCAAGTGGTTTTGTTAGTTAGTTTGGTTTTGGGGTTTTTTTTAAATTTTTTTATTTGCAAGACAAGCTCTCACTATTTCTCATTTGTTTTTAACTCATGCACAAATGCTGGATCAATTTGAAATTTTTATATTGGTCATCATAATACTAGTTGAGTCTGAGGCATCATCTGCAGATGACCTCTGGACTCCTAATTTCCTCCATCCTGGTGGAGGACAGGGACCACAGCCTTGGCTTGTTATCTTCCTCATTGACTACACACATTCCTCTCCTCAGCACAGTCATACTGGGAAAATCTGACAGTTGCAAGGAGTTTTATCATTAGCAGTAAGGAAACTCAAATGAAAGGAGAAATGAAAAATGAAAATTACTGTTCTTTTTGAGAGTGCTAGACTTTTCAGCAGGCATATTAAACTGGGAATATAAAGACAAGAGTAATGGGAGCTCAAATTGCTTCTCCACTGGCAGGCATAGAGGCTGTTTGTTTAACTGTTCTAGCAAAAACCAATTCACCCTCTACCATGAAGACAGTTCATTGATAACATATATAATCTGATTTTTGATTTAACAACTATGATAATATAAGCACAAGAACTGTTGAAACATTAAAGGTATCATGAATAAACTCAATGTGTTTTCCCCTCTACACACTTCCATTCTTTTTTTTTTTTTTTCATTCTATTCATTGTGGTGATTTATTCTTCATTATGGCATAAATGATAAACAGTCAGATAAGTTATTCTGGGAATTATGGCACTGTTTCAGGTGTCCATTAGAAGGAATGCATTTTATGAAAAAAAAGTCTGAGTCGTCCTTTTCATTAAAAGCACCTTGCTCACTCTAGATACATGCTCATATTAATATTAGGCATATAAATAGTCTTATTACCTTCAAAGATGCCCCAGCCAGCCCCCACTAATGTTAGCTCAGACATGCATACATAACTTTATTTGCATAGCTCCATTGTCTGAGTTTGACAATATCCTGACATATGTGCTTACTTTCTTCCTCAAGCAGCATATTGTCTTAGGAACACAACAAATACTTGGCAGACTGGAAAACTGTCATGCTAAAGCCAGGCTGTACCTCCAATCCAGATATAGCTGGTACCACAAACTGTGTTGCTTTTACCCACACCTTCAGAGAATCATGGAATGGTTTGGTTTGGAAGGGACCCTAAAGATCATCCAGTTCCAAGCCCCTGCCATGTGCAGAGAGACCCCTCACTAGAGCAGGTGGCTCAGAGATTGATTCAACCTGGTCTTCAACACCTCCAGCAATGGAGCACTCATAACTCCTCAGAATAACCTGTTCCACTGCCTCATCACCCTCACAATGAAGAATTCCTCCCAAATACCTAATCTAAATCTACTCTCTTTCCATTTATTTCTACACATCAGCTCTGATTTGCTTTCCAGGAATGTCACTTGCTGTCCTTTGCTCTTATACCATTATGTCCATGAAGAGGTGTCCATGGAGATTTCTTCTGTGTCACAAACATCTCCATGTAGTCCTGGATCTACCTTGGGTCAGGAGCCAGGCTGCTGTCACGTCCCCATGGAGCACAGACTGGCAATGCCAGCCTAAAAGCTCCCCTCCTCCATGTCCATTGCTGCGATGCAGCACACACTTGAACATCTGGGGAGCTGCGCTGTGAACCCAGGCACTGACTTCATCTGAAGGAAGAAAGCTCTGTAAATATAAATTTTCTGGCTCTTGACTCTTTCTAAGATCTGTGGTCTTGGCCCCAGGCAATTGTGTTGGCTCTCCTGAGTCCTCTATGCCTTGTGCCATGCAGACAAGAGTGATCAAAGGTGGGAACTTCTTGCTACCTGAGCCCCCAGATCAAGGATCCATAGTCTGAGGACTATAATTTAGGAGGTGTCACCTGTGTGTTCCTGCACAAGCTAATGGGGCGAGAGAGAGGCACCCATAATGGGCAATTCACATACTCTTATGGCTGAGCCTTCCCCTGGAAGGGCTTTTAACTTCTCTTTGACTGTGTGGGGAGTCCATAGCAGCTACATCCAGTCCTAAACTGGATGCCTTATTTCAGTGCCCAAAATTATGTGGGATGCATCTGGGTCTTTGCTTCTTTTTCTCTCAGCTTTGTTATTGACAAGAACTTGCCAGTAAATAAGTGTTTGCAAAAATGATCTTGGGCAAATGAGTCATTTTAAAGATGGAAATGAGTCATGTTAAGGTGGGTAGGGTTTTGCATACTGCCTGGAGGGTTTTTCTGAGGGCCATCAGCAGAACAGCAGACTTTGAAACCTTGAGCATGTGGGGGCCTGTTGGTTGGTGTCTTCTTTGTGGATTTGGTCCTTAGTGACAAATAGGAGGTTGTGGGTGAGAACGGCTTTGGAATACCTGGCCCTTGTTCAGGCGCTGGGACAATAGGTGGACTCCTCTGAGTGCCAAGCACTTAGGAACCAGAGTTCTGCCTTCAGCTGTAAGAGACAGCCGCAAGTTTGGGGAAGGTCACTGCTAACAGGACTTTCATCCTGCTGTTTAACCCAGGGCCTGTTTGCAGTCTGTGGTTTGCTGACTGGCTGCTACCTCTGCTGCTGCCTCTGCTGCTGCTTCAACTGCTGCTGTGGAAAGTGCAAACCAAAGGCACCCGACGGGCAACAGCAGGAGTTCTGTGTGTCTCCAGAAGATTTGGAAGAGCAAATTAAGAACGACATGGAAAGAGGTGTGTATTGTAGGGGCTTACTGTGTGGCAAAGCTGTTCAAAACAACTTTAAAGCCTGTAGTCCAGATGTTCCGCTCACAATGCTGAGGCTGCTTCCAGACTTCAGGGGAGACGGGCCAATTCACTTTAGCAAAGACCACAACACAGTGAACCTCCCAAATTATGCATTAATGCAAAACCAAACTTAGGCACTTACAACTAAACATCTCCTGTATCTCTTATGAGACACTTACAAAATAAATGTCTTAGGGCTCATTTTAAGAGATAATGTTCACCCTCTAGCCTCCATGCCCACGTTCCTTCATATCTTAGATCCTATATTCCTACATTAGACTCAGCTGGACTGGTGCCTGTCACATCTGATTGACCTGAATAAGCTGTCATTCAGACTTTAGTTGTGTAAAATTTATCCCTGCTTGTGGTGAATATTGTACCCATTCAAGAGAAGGCTTCAAGAAAATATGCCAAGTTTCCAACAGTAAGGTTGTGCAGTAACCCAGGAGAGCATGCATGGGAGCTACCATGGTCCTGTCCCTCTCCCATACAGCCCCTAAGCTTCTCACTTTCTTCTGCAGTAGCAATTCTACCTTAATCAGGCCTTGGATAAAATCCAGGTGTAAACTAATCCTCTCAAAAATGTCTGTAGTTCCTGGCCCATTTAATTCTCTGGTGTGCTTCATGGTGGAGCAGGCAAGTGCTAACTTAGGGGCAAGAGGAACAGGGAATTTAGGAGCCAGGAACATGGGCCTGTGGCAGCAAAATGACCTCCACAGCAGGTTGGCCTCGTTTTTTGCCTTTGCTGCATTCCCCAAGCTGCACGTTCAGGTTTTGGCTATGCCAAAGGATGGTGGAGGTGATTTCCTAATTTGGCACTAGTATGGGATGCATGCTCTGAACAAAGAGTCCTGTCCCAGTGTGCCAAAGAGGGGCAGTTTTGTCTTCATATTCAGGGGAAGCAGAAACATCTCAAACTGGATAGATATGTACAGGTGCTCCAGCAATAAGAACCCAAGGTACCAGGGAAGGACTGAAGACACTTTTCAGTTGCAAATGTATATAAACTATGATTAAGATTATGGGTTCTTAATGAGGAAGGACCTAAGTCAGCTCACTCATTTTCTCTTCCATTGTTATAGAAGATCTTATACTGTTATATTCTTATGTTTATTATGCTTAAAATAGCACTGCCAGATTGCAAATGTCATGTTCCCTTAGCAGTAAGAAATTTTTTTCCCCCAACTTTTCACACAAATTTACCCTTCCATAAATATGTAACAAAACACTTGTAGTGGTTGAAACAAATGCTATTTTTATAACTGCTATGCCAATGTGTGGTGGTGTTTTTAAACTGATTTTGCCTAGAGGCATATCAAGGTAAACACAGTCAGCTTAAAAATTGATCATACTTAATCAGTCTCTGCAAAGGCAATAAAAACTACTTGTGAAAACTTTATAACCACAATACCTTGAGACAAAACTAATAAACTCTACAACATTAGGCATCTGAAAAGTGCAAATCTAAAGTGGGTCTTGTTCTTCATGAGTCACTGATACCAAAGCCAAGTCTAAAGTAGAAGCATAGACCTTTGAAGAATCAGAATGCTTAATTTCTGCCTGTTTTCTTAATTTGTTTATTTTTAATTTGGTTTATATTCATTTGAATTCTCCCTAAAAATCCAGAACAAAATTCCCCAGTGCTCTTTCCTTCTGGCACAGGTACCAGAAGGTATTGGTATGCTTTAATTTTAGGCCCCCTTGACATCCCTTTACTCCCGCCAAGTCCCACTGAGACCAAGTTAAAAATTAATTTTAAATGCTTAGCAAAGTACCAGTATGAAAAAATAACATAATATGGAATTTCATGTTTTAAGTATTTGGAAGACAGTATTAAATACATAGGTAGGGTCTGAGGAAAACTAGATCTTTATACCTTTCCTACCCTCCTCTTCAGTCTGGCTACATTTTCCTCCTAATCAAAACCAGCAAGTCTCAGTAAAGCAGAATTCTCTTTATTTTAAAAGAGATCAACATATAAGGAATAAAATAAAAGCTTTATGACAAAGAGTAACATGAGCATCTTTCCTGCAGCTGAAAGGAAAACAGGCTATGCATTTAGGAAAAAGAAAAAAGAATGACAACTAGATCAAAGTGTGCTTCCTCTCTTCCTTCTTCCCTTGACATCCCAACTTCAGGCATACTGGCCAGAAAGACACAGCTGACTTTTAGAATAGCAAAGACTGCTTTTTTGAATGTTGAGCCATAGAAATTAATCCTCATGCCTTCCTTTAAGTAAATAATAGAAATGTTCCTGTATGTAATTCAGAAACAAACTGTGTAATTCAGAATCACTTGTGCAGCAGATTTAATTTTGGAAGAGGAGATTCTATTAGGATCCAAGTTCTTTGCATGCCCTCTGAGCACAGAATGAGCATTCCAGCCAGTAATTAATTTCTCTGCTTCCTGCTGTTCCCAGCATCAACAGTATTGCTAACCAGAACTTCTCACTGAGGTCAAATGTAGATTTTTCAAGCTAAAGCCCCACAAAAACTATCCAAATATTTTTTAATCAGCCATTGTTTTCCTGAGGAATGCATCATTGATAAAGCATCAAAATTCCTGATGCTACAAAGCTCTGAGACTGAGCCCTTAGCAGTTGTGCTCAGTGGGAGCTCCCTGCTGCTGGCTGCACTGCCCAAAGGAGTTGAGATTTAGACCTCAACTAAAATGTAAAACTGCCATATCAAACTGACATGACTATAATAATTTTTCAGTGCCTCACAACTCTCAATAACAAAATAAGGTTTTACACAGTTGATTTCGTTCATCAAACTAACATACCATAAAACATAATTATTATTGAAAAAGAAAGAGGTGTGAGGCCAAAGATTCAGTGATCCATTCCCTAAAATGCAAGAGCAAAGTGAGTTGCCACTGAAATCAACATAATCATGCCAAAGGCTTCACTTCTGTTGATTTGATATTTCTCTAGAAAAAGAGAATTTCTAGGGGCATTTATATTTCCCTAGAAGAAGGGTTAAGTCAAATAAATGTCACTAGATCTAGTGCTCAGATAGTTCAGTGTCTCCCTTGAGAGCCTCGTTTTACAGCATGTATTTCCAGGGGTAAGATGACCATCTTAAAGGAAATTAGGGACTTGCAAGCTCTGGCACATACTTAGCTTACAAGGATTTCTCTTCATATTTATTGATTTGAACCAGAAGACTCTGACCTAATACAGAGCAGAAAACCAAAAATTAAATGTTATGTTTGGGCTATTACATTTTAAAGATGACATTTTTTGGTGTTTCAGATCAAACATGACATTAGAAAGGTGCAAAATAAGGTAATCTGTGGTATCCTGCCATGATGTTACAGGTAACCTGTCAAAATGCACTGGCAGAGGGAAGTATCACTCGCTTGCCTGCAGCACAGACACGTGCAACACTTCAACACTTTCCCACGCACATGGGGCAGGTTGACAGATTTTGCTTCCACTGAAGTTGATGGTAAAATTTTTGTTAACTTTTGTGTTCCCGGAGGAGGTGACATTGGAATTTGGACTGCCTTTGTACTTCAGGCTGTAATGATGCACTCAAAGCAGTTTGTCAGGTCTGTTCTCTCCTGTTCGGTTATCGTTGTAAGAACAAAGCAAGGCATTTCTAGACCAACTTTTATTTTACAGAAAATGAATTCTGGGAGAGAAAAAAAGGGACAAGAATAAAAGAACCTGAGTAGAAAAAATACTTTCCCAACTCAGAAGCAAAAAGTTTTTATCACTTCATTGTCTCCTCCACACTCCATATGATACAAATGTAGGCGAACAGTGAGCAGGAGCTATCTATAGAAGGCAGTTTAAACTGTGAATTCTGCCTCACCTCCATTCTGCAGCTTGCCATTAGCAGACTATATTTGTACAGTTTATTATGCTATGGGTCCCTGTTCTGCTAAAAAACCCTATAATAAGTCTTAGAAGGGTGCAAGCAGCAAAATGCTTGGTGAGGGTGTCAGCTAAGAGCTGTCTGCAGATCAGCTGGAGGCAACGCGACAGATTTGCAGTGGGTCCTGCTCTCCTGTTGCACACCTGGGTATCACAGCAAAATGAACTGCTAATCTCTGCCCTCCATTAACAATCTTCCCGAAAATGAACAACTTGGAGGCAGAAGTGGGCGGGAGAGAATGCTGCTCAGAAATCTAGAAAACACACAGCAACTTAAAAATGGATTGGAACTGCCAAACTAATATGAGCCTGAGCTGAGCTCAAAGCATTAATTACTCATATACTTTTAGAAGTTATGAAACACGTCTGTCTTTGACCTTGTGTCTAAATATGGAATTGCCCATACAGAGAAGCTGCTTGGCATTTAATCATTCTTGCCTTTCACCTTGACAGAGTCAAAGTTGTTCTACCCCCACTGAGTGGAAGCCGTATGGCATGCAATTAGATTCCTGCTCTGGGTTAAGTTACTCCCGTACATTACATCTTTTGCCCATGATTCATCCCATCAACTGTCATGTAAACAGAAGGAAATGTCAGATGAGATTTTTTTCCCTGAACAGTTGGTCATTTGGCAAAAAAAGTCATAATTTGTATTTGATTACTGTGAAGACTCTGTTAGTATCAGGATATAGACAGTCCAAAGCTTTCATACATGAAACATTTCACTAAGATGGCTTGTAAAAGTCAGTCTCTGAGACTTGAGTACTTCCCTCCCTCCAAAAAACATGTGGGTTGGAAAGAGGCCCAGAAGAAGCTGGCTTGCTGCACTTACTAAACCTTGTTCTTTATCAGATGGAACACAGTAGCCATCAAGGAACTCTGTAAAGACTTCACTTCTACTTTTCTCCACTCTACAACAAATTAATCTTTATAGATATATTGGAAAAGCAAACACAAAATTGCACGGAGTGAGAAAGTACACAGCAGTAGGGATTTATAGAGTGACAATATGAAGTTTTAGCAGTTCCAAATTCATTAAAATAGTAATTCCCAGAGTCCTATTGCATATACATTACATAAGACTTCAAATTCAATTTAACATTTTTATTTAACTAGCTGGCTTTCAGGATAGGTATGATTTCTCTCTTCTCAAGTGTATTACTATTACTGCTCATGTATTTTTTCCTTTTAACTCTCCTCCTTCTTTACTGTTAACTCTGCCTTCTTCAAGACTCATTTCTGTCCCATTTTTACAAACACTACCAAGGTTAGTGCTTGCTGACTCACATCAGCTCTGATTATATTCTGCCATTTGTAGGAACAAGCACTTGCTATTAGAACAGGCAGGAACCTTTAGCCTGCAAGCTCTGCAAAGCACCAGGCAGAGCAAATGTCCAGTCTAACAGCAGCAGCAACACCCAGAAATCTGCCATTGTATGAGGACTAGAAGGAAGAGCATTTGTAGGCTTGGTGTGGGCAATGTCACCTTGTTGGTACCCACACAGCTGTCTGTGAAACCAAATTAAGCTGTAACCAGAAGAGCAAATGAAATGTTGTGGTGCTAACAAGAAATCTGGCTTTGGTAGCAAGTGAAGGGCTCTTAAAGTAATCTTTGTATTCCTCTCCAATTTAGATGGAGAAACTCCTATCACGCTTCAGCCGACTAACGTCACTGAGAAGACACAACTGATTGGGGACAGCCACCGGAGCTACCACACTGAGTCCTAGGGCAAGCCAGGGACCTGCTGGGCTTCTCACTGACTCTCACAGTGAGAAAAATATGAGATAAGTCCTGTAGCCTGTGTTCATAGTTTTTAAGCTAATAAAAAGTAAGGTGAGAGTAATTCCCTACCAAGGCAGAATCTCACTGTATGCTACTTCCAACAGGTCAATACCTGCACGGTGTATGGAGATACCCACGGCCTGTACAGAGCATGCTGGTCTCTCACAGCTTCAAATTGTCTTTCCCTCTTATAATATTCCCTTTGAGATAGCTGGTCTTCTCCCTGCCTGCATCTGCAGTTTCACCTCCCAGACACAGTCCTGAGTCCCTTTATGGACACACTGGCTGTACCTCCCTGCCCCGGGAACCTTCCCTGGATGCAGCAGTTTTGCTGGATGGGAAACATTCCTGTGAGGGAGCCCCACAAGTGCTCTTTAGCAGGTCTCAGAGAGAAAGTTGTTAGCAAGACAGATGGGGCTGTCCTTCCCAGAGAAGAAGCGCTCTTTGGAGGGCAGCTAGTGGCTTGCTGGGACCCAGCTCTGGTAATTATAAATCCTGAACCAAGACAAAGTGCTAGGAGATTTTTCTGATGGTTGTTACAGTGCAGGTCACTCCAAATCCAGGAGCCTCGTCCAGAAGCACACATAGGCTCTGTTGTCTTCCCCAGCAAAAGCTGCAAACCCATGAGACAAACCCTGGGCTGTCCCAGAGCCTCTCTCCTCCTCCCAGGGGCCTGTGTCAAAGCTCCTCCTTTTGGTTCCCAGCCAACAGCGTTCTGCCAGCTGGCTCCCTGCGCCGTGCCCTTGGCTTGTGGCACTGCTGCCCTGCTGGCACTGGGCTGGGAGCCACCACGCCAGCACAGGCACTGGGGCCGTGGGAGCAGCAAGGACTTGGCAGGGAAACAAGCAGCAAAGGAGTGACCGTCCTCCTCAGCAGCTCACTGGGGTAAGACTGAAACCTCCCTTCTGCGCCAGGCACAGGGGCTTTAAGAGCACATGGCATGATTTTAAATAAAGAGGCAGGAATAAGGTGTATGTTCAGGTGCACCACTGCACAAATGAGTGGACATACATGTGGCCATGGCTAAAGGGAGCATGAAGAACTTAGGCCACTAATTTGTCAGAGCTAAAGGAATACCTCTTAAATCTTAAGCTTAGCACTTCACTGATTTGACATAGTAGTTTAAGCCTGAGGCAGTAGAATTTCTTCTTATTGATCATTTTACATCAATCATTGTCAGTTTTGTGTATTTGCTATTTTTGCATGCTGTGGTCTAAAGGGGGGTCACAGTGTTCCACTAAATTATACAGACTTGTGAATATATAACAAGCTGAAACTGTTGTTTCCCTTGCTTAAAATTGGATCCCACAGTTGTGAAACATTATTATCTTCCTTCTATTCTCACCTTTGACATCAAATGTCATTCATCTAATTATATTGGGAAAAGAATGTGTTTTATAGAACCAGCTGTAAGTCCAAAGTCAAGACATACTACTTTCAATGTTTCTTAAAAAGTTCCATAACACAAGGATATTTTCAAGACCATTACTTCCTGTTCAAGTTACATATCTGTTCTCTGGATGCAGGCGCTGGGGACAGCCAACATGCACACTGCCCTCACAAATGGCCCTGGTTTTCTGCTTCAGAAAAGAGGGAAGATGCTGTCATGGCCAGAGTGCACAGGCACTCACTTCCCTCCTACCCACAGGCTCCTCTTTGCCCTCAGTTGCAATGGTTTTGGAAACCAGTCGTGTGTACATAATTCCAGACCACCATCCTACCTGCCCACTGAGGATGTGCCCATCCAACCCAGCGGTGCCAGGGGAGGGGGCAGATGCCACCATCCTGCCACTGAGGAGACATGACCCCAGAGGCTTGTCTTTCCAGTGGCAGCCGAGTGCTGCACGTCTTCCCGTCAGGGGGATGGATCAGACAGCACTGGGGTGCTGTGAGATGGGCAGAGCCCAGAGACTGGGCACTCGTCTTTTGCCTTTCTCCTCTTTTCAGAGTGTTTGTTCTAGCATAGGATGTTATCCCCAATGAAGGAGTAGGGAGAGCACATAGTACATAACAAATCTGCAGGTGAAGTAATTTGCTAAGTTTCACTGTCAGGTAGAGAAATATAGTGTGAAAATGTCTAAATGTTACCTAGTGACTATTTCCAGCAGAGAGCTGAAAGAGGCACTGGGAGAAAAGTCCGGTGTAAAGCTACGTTTTATAAGTGGAATCCTTTCCCATGTGAAATCCATCCTACTTTTCCCATGGAAGTCATTGGGAATTGCACCCTTGATTTCAACAACAGCTACAGAGCAGGCCTAAAGCCAGGGAGGAAGAAGTAAATCCCATAATAGCAAAAGCAATTGGAGAATTTTTTCACATGCAACACCTCTGATGGGTCTATAGGGTCAGAGCCAAAGTTCACCAAAACCAAGGAAATTTTCTCCATGGTCTTGAGATGTACCGCAAGTCATGTGGTTCTTATTTACACTTTCTAAATGAGAGCCTTTTCTTGGGAAGGATTTATGGCTGGATCTCACAGTGTGAAGCAAAGATGGACAAGCTGCTGCATGTTTTACAGACACAGGGCTCTGTACAGAAGAGCCACAACACATTTGTTAGCATGTCAGTTAGCAAAAAATCTTAGAAGAAACCAGTGACCAAGCATCTGAGGGGGTTGTCCAGGACCTGCAGCTTAAAGATCTGAGTGTCTGAACTCATGGTTTAATTTCAAATGGGTAACTTAGTTTTTAAAGTAACAGAGCATTTGTGTCTCTCATTGATGCGAAGATCAGTATTCTGAGGACATGTGGAGATAGAATGATAAAGGATTTGAGGACTTAGCTCTTCAATGTGATTTTACTCCTTTGTTTGCTTTTCAGAAAAGTTCCTAACATGAACACATGCTAGCATTATCTGCTTTTGTGTACAGTTCAGTTGCACACCCAGAAATCTTCTCAAAATGTACAGATTCTCAATTTTCTTCTCTGTTTTGCAACATTTATTTATATGTAAACTTCCATGTATTCAAATCTACCTTGGCTGTCAATCATTCTGACTAATAAAAGTTGTATGTATGAATTGTAGCACTCCCTTTCCCTTGCCACACCACCAACAACTTCATTCCAGGAAGAGCTAGAGAAGCTGTTGAGACAGCTGGCCCAAGTTATGGCTTTGCTCCCTGGCAAGTGTCAAATGGCAGCTCAGGGTTCCCTGAAGAGGAACTAGCTCTTGGATTGCAGCAGATGTGCCTGCCCATGCAAAGCAGACAGACCCATGGCCTCACATTTTAAATTCTTTACTTAATGCAGAATGCTTGTAAGAGAAATCATCAGTGTGACAAAGTGATGTAACACAGTAGTTTCGCTGGAATCAGTGCCCATATGGAACAATTTCCCCCAGCAAAAGGTGTGTGCAAAGAGAGGAACCGTGGTGCTGCTGAGGACATCCTGAGACATCCTGCACCTCACTCTGGGGTTTTGTATCTGTTCAAGAGCCAGCACAGAGTGCCAGATAATCTGGGCATGCAACAAGACAGGAATATGTATCACTAGGTTGGTATTCAGCCTCTGTGACCACAAAAGCCCAAGCATGTGAAAAATGGATAAGGGGCAGCTGTTTTGGCTGTATGTATCCTCAGAGATCTGTTCCTTTGTGTGCTTAGATATTAACACATACCCAGATTCACTCAAAACACCAAACAGAAGAGGCAGCATAGACAATTTAGGTGCACCACCATGTAACTAGTTATTTAGGCAGTTTGTGCACTTTTACTCCCTACAACAAGTTTGTGGGATAAGCCACAATGCTTAATACAAAAAGCTTCAAACATAATTGCACATCACTTAGTTTGATTGCCTACCTTGTATAAGAATGAATACTGATATGATTTCAGTCAAAAAGAATTATATCTCTGCCTCTTTGTAGAATAAAATCACTAAAAAGAATTGAAGAAGAACTCTAAACTGAGCGCAGTTAAAATTATTGATTTTTTTCCTATGTTAGAATTTCCTGTAGAAAAGAGTGCGCTGTTATGAACCAGGGAGAAAGACCACAGATGACCATAACCCCCTTCCTTCCCTCCACAAACTGAAGTCAGGTCCCTCATCACATCTGGCTTCTCCTTTCACTTTGAGAGATGAATAGGTAGAGGGTTTTGTACAAGAGGGCTCAGTCCTTTGCGCAGGTTTCACCCATCCCAGGTTGGGAAGGCAGTAAGACAAGACAACTTATAGGTGTGGTAGCTGACACCTATAATAGATAGACCCAGTAATGACACACAATTTTCAGCTAAGGGAGAGAGTCAGTTCATGCTATTCTTAGAATGGGTTGGGTAGGAAAGGGCCTTAAATATCATTCAGTTCCAACCCCTGGCCATGGGCAGGGATGTGTCCTGTCCAGCCTAGACTTGAACACTTCAGTTGGCTGGATAAGAAAATGTGTTCATTTTGTGGCAGCATGTACAGATACAGCCTTATGCTGTAAAAACAGTGTCTAGACATTTGGAAGAGAGGAGACTTGGAAAAATGACCATCAGAATTTCAACATCCTAATTAACTGCGATGAGACAAAGGGATCTCAGCCGGTATCCTCCTGCACTGACTTGCTTTGTGGCACGTTGGATTATGAGCACACATGTCGTTTAACTTTGGAAATTCAGGAGTGTTGGCAGTCCTGCATTAGGCCAAACATTCTCTGCTTCCGCAGGAACAGTCGCTCCTGAGAGTGACACACAGCGCACAGGCTCGGTTTACGATGCAGCTGGAACTATTCTAGAAAAGCAACTGTATCTGCAAAAGGCTAAAGAGACAATTGCTAAAGAGGATCTTTGGATGGAAGGGAGAAAAAAAAACGTAACGTCTCCTTCGAGCCGGAATCGAACCAGCGACCTAAGGATTCCCGTGGGGCGTAACCGCTACAGTCCTCCGCTCTACCAGCTGAGCTATCGAAGGGACCTGCCATTCATGGCGCCGCCGCACACCAAGACCGCAGCCGGCCCGCCCCGCGCATGCGCAGCACGCAGCGT